CTCTTACTTGCGCACTTGGGGCTGTTTGGCGAAAGTCAATGTGTCGATCCCCAAAAAGCGTAAGCTTGGACCAAAGACCGTGGACTGCGTTAAGTTGGGCTACGCTAAGAATAGCGTTGGCTATAGATTTCTAGTGGTGAAATCTGAGGTACCTGACCAGAAGGTCGGTACAATTATATAGTCTAAGGATGCTACATTCTTTGAGGATATTTTCCCCATGAGAGATATGCAAAGCAGTTCTAAACTGGAATCTGATGAGACTCCTGAACCTGCCATTCCAATGGAATATTATGAACACAAAAGTGATGAAAGTTCATCAGAGGATGACGAGGAAGCTTCTGTTAGGAGCAAGAGACAAAGACTGCAAAGTATTTTGGTGATGATTTCCTCGTGTACCTCGTGGATGATGACACTCCCAGTTCCATTTCAGAAGCTTATGCATCTCCAGATGCTGACTACTGGAAGGATGCTGTCCGTAGTGAGATGGATTCCATCATGGCTAACGGGACATGGGAGATCACTGATCGTCCTTATGGTTGCCAACCATTGGGATGTAAGTGGGTGTTCAAGAGGAAGCTTAGGCCTGATGGTACTGTTGAGAAGTACAAGGCTAGGCTTGTGGCCAAGGGTTATACCCAAAAGGAAGAAGATGATTTCTTTGATACTTACTCACCTGTAGCTAGGCTGACAACCATTCGAGTGTTACTCGCTTTGGCTGCCTCGCATGGTCTTCTCGTTCATTAGATGGACGTTAAGACGGCTTTCCTTAACGGAGAGCTAGACGAGGAAATTTACATGCAACAGCCAGATGGCTTTGTAGTAAATGGTCAGGAAAGAAAGGTGTGTAAGTTAGTAAAATCTTTGTATGGCCTGAAACAAGCGCCTAAGCAATGGCATGAGAAGTTTAATACAACTTTGACATCTGCTGGCTTTGTTGTATACGAAGCTGACAAATGTGTATACTATCGCTATGGTGGGGACGAAGGAGTTATACTGTGTCTGTATGTTGATGACATACTGATATTTGGGACCCACCTCAAAGTAATTGAGGAGGTCAAGGCTTTTCTATCTCATAACTTTGAGATGAAAGACCTGGGCGTGGCTGATGTTATCTTGAACATCAAGCTACTGAGAAATACTGAGGGTGGAATTACACTTTTGCAATCCCACTATGTTGAAAAGATTTTGAGCCGTTTTGGATATTCGGACTGCAAACCTTCTGCAACACCATATGATCCTAGCGTGCGGATTCAAAAGTTTGAAGGCACGGCTGTAGATCAATTGAGATATTCTCAAGTGGTTGGTTCACTGATGTACGTAGCATGTGCTACTCGTCCTGACATCTCATTTGATGTGTGCAAACTAAGCCAGTTTGTTTCCAATCCGGGAGATGTGCATTGGCATGCTGTTGAGCGAGTGATGCGTTACTTGCAAGGTACTGCGAACTATGGGATTCACTATTCTGGGTACCCGACAGTACTTGAGGGGTATAGTGATTCAAATTGGATATCTGATGCTGATGAGATGAAAGCCACAAGCGGACATGTCTTCACACTTGGTGGCGGTGTTGTTTCCTGGAAGTCTTGCAAGCAGACGATCTTAACCAGATCGACTATGGAAGCAGAACTCACAGCATTAGACACATCATGCATCGAAGCAGAATGGCTTCGAGAGCTTTTGATGGATTTGCCGGTGGTTGATAAACCAGTGCCGGCTGTCCTTATGAACTGTGACAATCAAACAGTGATTGCCAAGGCTAAGAGTTCAAAGGACAACATGAAATCCACAAAGCACATAAGAAGAAGATTGAAATCTGTCAGAAAATCAAGAAACTCCGGAGTAATAGCGTTGGATTATATCCAGACGGCTAAGAATCTGGCAGACCCTTTTACGAAAGGCCTATCACGGATTGTGATAGAAAATGCATCGAGGGAGATGGGTATGAGACCCACGTAAGTTGCCATGGGGGTAACCCAACCTATGTGATCGGAGATCCCGTGAATTAGGACCTGGGAAAACAATCCAGCGGTCAACTGAGGAGAGTATCCTTAATTATCTCACTCCGTTGGAGATGCAATAATACTCTCAATTCTGTAAGGCAGCCTGACTTTTGTCTTAATGTGTTCCAAAGCTTATGTAAGCAATATGCTAACCTACAGAGCATTCTTTGGAGGAACACACATATGTGAGCCCGACTGCTGGTCAGTCATGGACTATGCCGTGGGGTTTAGCCTTCGGCAGCCACATATCAGCGACAATAGGCGAAACTTCATGCCAAACTGGCAATTCAAGGCATAGTCCATTGTTCAGTTGTGAAGAAGTCTAATCCTATTGCTCTAGGTGGAAGTTCAACTTAACAGTCTCCACTGAAAATTCTGGTATATCAAACATTGTTTGGAACAGTTGACAAACTTATGTGCCTCGAGATCTGGTGGGGGATTGATGGATTATGGATGGGCTTAGGCCCATATAAGACAATAATCCCTAGTTAATCTCTAAGGCCCATGCATGTGTGTACGACAAGTGGTGGGAAGTGTGGGAAATTTAGTCCCATACTGCTACAGTAAGAAGAGTGAGACCTCTTTATAAGGGCCGCTCTACCACTTGCTATTGGGAGCTTGGGAATAGGAGCTGTACACGCACGCTCCTCCTCCTCCGCCGCCCGCCTCGCCTTGTCACGACGCGCGCGCGCGCCGCGGGTTGCTGGAATGAGTTGAGCCGGAGCTTATTTTTGCCGCTCAGGAATGGTTAATTAATTGTTAATTAATTAACGAGTCGCTTACGGAAGCGCCACTGTCCGAGACGTTGGACCGTGGGCTGTTCGCGGACTCGGTCGTGGGCCTGGCCCAGGCCCATCCACCTGACGGCCTATATAAGAAGGCGCTGCCCAGTGGAGTGAACCCTAACTCAGTTCACTCACTCCCTCTCGTACAACCCTAGCCGTCATCTACTGTTCCTCTCGGTGTGCTGCTTCCGGCGATGCCATCCCGACGACCGCATGCACGGTTGGTCGGGAGAGCAGGTGCCTCCAGAACCCTGTCGTTCGAGATCCTGCCCGGGAGAACGGCAATAAGGTTTTTGGGGAGCGTCTCGACGCGACTGCTCCCGATCCGTCCCCGTCTTCATCCGCCTCTGCTTCCACTACTTCCTCTACATCGACTCCATGGCTGACGACGAAGTCGCCAAGAAGAAGGCCTTGGCTGATGCCGAGGCTGCTGCTACCGCCACCGCGTTGGCCTGGCCAACCGGAGGGTATGACTCGTTCATCCCATATTTGCTCGTACATGTGCAAGCCGTATATATGTTGTTCATAGATGTTTTGGTTCTATATACTGTACGTGCTCACATGCTTAGGTATCGGTATAAGATGCATACCGTATTTGCCATGCTTACCGTTTACTCGTGGATTAGATTAGTAGGAAAAGTGCTAATATTTCCAACATATACAGGCTTCTGTTTTTTTTGCATTTATCATATACAGGCACCGCCCGGATGGGGGGGCAGGGGGGCGGCTGCCCCGGGCCCCCGAAATTTAGGGGCCCCCATGTACGTGTGCTCTCTGTATCCGGCCCATAAGAAAAAAAATGATTCTAGGCTAATTTTGATGCAACAGACCTGTATATGTAGCGTACAGCGAACGTTGCCTGTGGGCAAGTAAAATCAGCGATTAGCTAAATTGGTGGAACTTCCGTTTCCCTAGCGCAGGTCCGCGCATGATGACATGAGCGATTGACCTCGCGACATATCCCAGACGCCGACACAGCCTCCTCCCGCGGAGGCCTCCCCCGATGATTTCTCGTCCAAGGGCTGATCAAGTAATTTCATGTTCATTGCCATGGACAGGAGTAACAACACCACCGACCCTGGCAGGCAGTTTTAAACTACAGAGATCAGATTAGCATCTTCCTGATGCATCATCCAACAGAGCTAACAAGATTGATATGTGACTTGGTGGCAGAATTATTAGATCTAGTGAATTAGCGGAGAAGATCGAGTTGGACGTAGTTGTCCTTCTGACTAATTTTTATTAATGCAATCCTTGCGATTAATTAATCTGGTTGTGTTGAGATCGATGAAAGATGAGGGGAGAGGATGTCTAGAATCGATGGGATAATGATAATATGATTAGGTGGCAAAATTAATTTTTAGTTGCTAAATTTTTTAATTTTTACTGTTGCAAATTATGAAGCTATTCTGCCTGCGTGCCACCAAGAGCAGTTCAAATTACTTTTTGTTTGCCAAACTGAAATATACAATGCATGAAACTTCCCTGTCAAAATCTTAGCAAAAGTGAGAAATAATAATTATAATAATATATAATTAGAACCTGGAACTAGGTCGACCTGCTGGTTTTGCACAACATGATAAAAAATATAACAACAATTCATGTTTAAAATTTATCTAAACATGCACATAATGATTATAATTTTTGATATATAAAGGGTCTCCCAGTTGTATTTTCGCCCCGGGCCCCTGAAATCTCAGGATCGGCCCTGATCATATATAGATGCATACGATTTGTTGTGTTATACAACTTTAAAATCGACGTGGTCAAGAAATGAAAAGGTAGCAGCAGCCTGACCACGCGCGCTCATCCACACCCGACCACCCTGCGAGATGCACTGGTGGACTTTTCTTCCCCACGGCCAACCAACTCCATCAGCGAGTCTAGACAAGGTACCCCCGGTCCGAAACCTTGTAACTTTATTCATCTTGTGACATGTCTAATATGTGCCCAATTACAGATCTAATGTCGACTAACTTGGTCAACAACCGAATATACTCATTCAAGTGTTTAAAATCCATTAATTTAATCAAAGGGGAAATAAGCTAAGTAGTGATTAAGCATCCCATAAGTGTTTTAACAGAATAGAAATTTGCATCTCTAATGTAGTTCTACTTAATTTGCATTGCAAGCATTGGATGGCATATTGAATTTTTCATGGTGCCACACTTTAAAAGAGGTCTAAAATCATTATACGTACATACGTGTTAGCATAATGGGTCTTGATTCTAGAACCGTGCCGACATGGTTTGTCTACCCTATGCTTATACAAATCATGGGAACTGAATATTTTGTCACTATATCAGCTTTGTCAAATGGCAGGTACGTAGAAGATGGAGGCATAGATTGCATAAATCAGGGAAAGAAACTGTATTCAGATGCCAACAGATAGAGAAACTCATCGAGATTGGGCTACTCTGCCAACATGATGATCCCTATAAAAGGCCTTTTATATCAGATATAATACGTGTTATCAATGAACTAGCAAGCACAGATAGTAAAATCAGCAATACAAACGAAAAAAGTAGAATCAGCAATGCAACTGAATCTACGATAGGGCAGGTAAGTTCATGTGCTACTCATAACTTCAATAGAATAACACTCCAATTGTTCCTACATTGTTCTTTAGATATCATTGTTTTGTTTCAAAGAGAGAACATGGAAGCAAAGTCTACGTGACATGGTCCTTAGGGAAGCCATACGTACATGTAAATGCACACGAGAAACCAAGAAAGTGGATCCTACATTGTGGGAGAGGACTCTTAGATATATGCGTGGATGCATTCTTTCTTCTAAGCACTCCTATATGAAAAAAAAATTGAAAGTGATATTATACAGGCAAGAGAGTGTGCCTATTACCATGACCTGGTGTTTTATTTCCATCAACGCTAATCCAAACATTTTATTATAATTAAAATAATCCATTACCTTATTCCTACTATTCTAATTGTAGAAGTTTCCACCTTAATGAACACAAAGCTTATGAGATTTTAGGAAATGCATATCTCACTGTCGCAAGGCATCTTGGTTTGTTCTTACAGATAAGCCCCTACTTGGAGGATGACATGCTTGGGATTGAGCCGCTCAAGTTATGCTTTCCTTTTGAGCTCAACAGTCAGATATCATGCTCACTTAAGCTAACCAATGAGACATATGATTTTATTGCATTCATCATCAAAACCACAAGCCCCCTGCAATACTGTATACAACCAAATAAAGGCTTTGTGGCTCCACGATCGAAGTTTGGTGTCAACATAACAATGCAACCACTAGACAAGGCACCAGAAGACAACTACACTGGTGATTTTATTGTGCGGAGCACCATAGTGAATGAGAATCTTGAGGACATAACTGAAGATTTATTTAGAAGAGAGGAGGGTAAATTGGTGGATGAGGTGAAACTGACGATTGCATATAAGGCCGAGGAACCCCAAGTGGATGTGCCACTTGGGTCGCCTATAATTTCAGACACAAGAATTTTGCACGGTCCACATGTATCCACAGTGCTGTCAACTGAGGCAGAATCCAAGGTGAGCATAGTGACTTAATTAAACTTGTGAAGTCTTTAATCACCTTCATTAGTAGAACATACACTTGTTTAATTAACCTAATTAATATTTTACATACAATCCTGGAACACTAATCATCATGCACATTAACCTAATTAATATTTTACATAGAGAGTCCAAATATGTGCCATATTGGTTTTCTGGTTGACAACAAAAGTCTAATCCTCATTGCGATTTACTTGAGTTGACTATGTAGATAAGTTAAAAATTATCATTGGGGAGACTAAATATGTGTTTTTTTTTTGCTAAGAACATAATCTTGAATGTTATTTATTTGGTTTGATTATATCATCTATCAGTTTTATACATGTTTAGATTACCTTTTTAAGTAGACAAGCTGACTAGCTGCTAATCTCTGTTGAAAACAAGATCCATATGTCTGGCAGCAGTGTGCCTGGTTCATTATGACACCTACTTTCCCTGTTAATTAATTCCACTGCATCACTATTTTGTTAAGAATAAAATAACGGATGTACCCTAGACCTGAAGATTCAAATGGTTGGCATCATCAGTCTTGTGATGCCTGATGATTAGTGTTCCAGGAATAAAAAATGTCCTCTTGTTTTCACGGTCTCAGTTTTGTCCCTGGTTTTTACTCTAATTTGAAAGGAAACACCGATGTGCAGGTGATGTTTTCACAAATTGCACTTACCAAAAAGAGATAGAATGACCCCTATTTGACTTGATACTTTTTTACTTCTGGATAGTGTACAAACTTGAGTCACTTATTTTGGACGGAGGGAGTATGAAGCTGTTGAAAGGAAAACAAGCTGGAAATTTATCTCAAACAAAGTGAAATGGGCTATAGTTGAAACAAAACTTGAAAGTTAGAATTGCCAATTTAAATATAGATATTAATTTAGCCTGAAAGTTAATGTTTGGATAATTGAGTGTTTCTAATAGGCCCATTTATCCATGGTTGTGGTATTCTTTTGCAGATAAGTGCATCTACCTCAGATGAGGTGATCCAGATTGATCCCCCCGATCTCTGCTTTCCCTTAGTGCCAGATAAAAAGGTGTTATCCTCAGTTAAAATAATCAACATTACAGATCTGTATGTCAGTATAGCCTTGACTTTAGTGCCGGAAGAAAACTCCAAAATGTACTCCGTAACCAGTTCCTTATTGGTCATGCCACCACGGTCCACACAATGGCTCAGACTAACAAGAAAAGAAAAGGAAGATGCAGTAAAAGACGTGCAGTTCAATGACGAAGTCTTTGTGTGGTACACAATGGTGGCCGAAGATATCAAAGTCTCCGACCTTGACTTGGGGGATTACAAGGAATATAAGAAGTTGCCTGTCGTTCTAACGAAGGTAAGTACACTATTTTTCTTTTGAGAAAGTTCACTAATTAGATTGAATGGCACTTTTTTACTCTAAAATTCTTATAGTCTAGTTATTTTTGAAAAGAAGGAGAACCCTCGGCCTTCTACGCCAGCACGATGCATCTAGCCATATATTATTAAGAATGCAAAATCCAACAGCCGAATAACATCGACCTAGAAATAAAGCGAAAAAAATATGAGGTTGTATGCCTCGCCACGGTAACTCCATCAGATAGCCACTAACCCTATGTTACAATACAACATCAAAACGAAAAATATACAACTCCCAGGCTATGCCTTCAACAAGGAATTATCGCACATGCGCCGATGATGGCGAGTCGAACACAAGGTTGAACTCCGGATTCGCATCCCCAAAGCCAAGTTCCAATCCACCATATTCAGCATGATCACGACGCAGGCATGCCGAAACGTAGCCTGAGCAGAGATCTTGTGTTGCCTCCGGAGTGCATAAACTCGTCGTTAAAGCCGTCTATACCATCAGTCCTTATCCAGCAACCGACACCTCAATAACTATATACCTCTGGAGAAGACACCGGAAGACAAGGACGTCCCATACTGCATGCCTCCCGCCACTGTCGCACCACCTTCGATCCAGCAGCAACAGGATAAACATGACACCTCCACCAGAGCCACCATGCATCACTTGCCGGTTGTAGGCATGACTTGACGCCTCCGCATGAGATGTCATGCATAGCATCCGCGTCGATCGGTGTATCTGTCAGGGGCTTCACCCACCGGCTACACGCATTGCTCGACGTCTCCAAAAGAAACACATGTGTCACCTACCAAGCCACATTGAACCCGGTCTTTTGATGGAGGGGATGTCCAATACTTCCGCCAGCCTCAGAAAGGTCGTCACCTCCTCGAGATATGGTCTCCCGTGTAGCCCACACAACCACGGATTCTGTCGCCGTCAAAGAAGATGGGTCGCCGCCTCGATTTGGGGTGCTACAGGAGCACCCACCGTCACGCCAGCTGCTGTCATCGCCCATACAACGGCAACCGCCATCACCACCGTTAAATGGGTACTAGTGCCTGAATCCCACACGTGTTGTCCCTTGGTCAACCATGCTCGGTGTATCCTCACGTTGTCCAGTAGGCCGCTACCAAATCGGCATCCGGGTCAACAGCCGCCGACTGATCCACTCCCTCCAAGCCGAAGCCAGGAAACACTGGCGCCATGAGCCGCAGCTCCGTGGTTGCCGCACTCCCTACCTCGCCATGCTACCATCCTGCCTGATCTGGGCCCGATCTGCGTGCCACGCACCAAGGTGTACGCCCGCGACCAGTCGGAGAAGGGCCCCGCCACCGCCTTCCTCGGAGCCATCCGGACATTGCCGGAGGGCACCTCAGCGGTGACGAGGGGAGAAAGGTGCGGCGATGGAGGAAGGTACAACGGGGGAAGGGGTGGCGGCGGCGGAGGGATCCGACGACATTGTTGGTTGGCGGCAATGCTTGTACGCGAGTTGCCTGGTCGCGGTAGCTAGGTCTAGTTACCCCTTCAATTTGTGTTTTTTCTAGAATCTTTTTTTGCCAATCAAGAGCAGGGAGTTCCCGCATTACATTATGAGGAGAGTTGTCCAATTCATTTCGGAAAACCATGCGAAAACCCAAACAAGAACAACAGGCAGGCATAGTTACCAGGCCTCGAGCACCGCATGTCTACCAAGCCGAGGCAAGAAACATAACATATACTCAAAATACACTAAAGAAGGTCGCAAGATGTCCAACACTGTGTCATCGTCATCACTCACTGCGCATGACCTCTTATTCGGCGATTCGCGCGCCGGAAACCAGTCGCGCACGCACCCTTCTCCGCTTCGCGGCCTTCTGGGCCGGCCCATGTGTCGGTAGGACACCAGCTGTTTTTTTTTCCTTTAGTTTTTTCTCATTTTTTCAATAATTCGTTGTATTAAAAAGTACTACTTTAAAAAAAATGAAAATTTTATTATAAAAATGCTCATGATTTTAAAAAATGTTCCGGAATTCAATTTGTTCTACCGAATAGAAAAATTCTTCACAATTCCAAAACATGTTCATGATTCCAAAATATATTTGCAAATTCAAAAAGAAATCATGATTTAAGAGAATGTTCACAAATTTAAAAATATTCATGATTTCAAAAAATTGTTCATGAATTCAAAAAAATGTTCATGATTAGCAGAATGTTCACGAATTTGTACAAATGTTCATGATTTTGAAAATTTATTAGTAACTTTAAAAGAATGTTTGCAAATTTGTGATTTTTTTTATGATTTCCAAAATATGTTCATGAATTTATTTATTTTTCATAATTTCAGAAAACGTTCATGAATTTGATTCGCAAAATGAAAAAACAAGAATAAAAATGAAAAAAGAAAAACATAAAAGGAAACAAAAAAGGGAACCTAAAAGAAAACGAAACCGAAAGAACCAAAAAAACAGGTTGGGTTGTAACACAAGAATGGGCTGACCCATACAAAAAACAGGACGTGAAGGGGGTTCCCCCTTATCGCGCCTGGAGACTGGCGACTCCGCTATAGCTTCCGAAAGCGTAGACCGCAGAACACGGATGGTCGGCACGGCAGCTCACCACCCATGGAACCATGCACGATGAGCCTATGGTCACCCAACCAAGCCAGGGACAGAGCTGCTACATAAATAAAATGTCAGCTGACACTACTACTTCCTCCGTTCCAAATTACTTGTCGTGGTTTTAGTTAAAATTTGAACTAAAACCACGATAAGTAATTTGAAACGGAGGGAGTAATACTTAGTAAAACCTTCACTAAATCAGTGTTCATTTGTATAAGCGGACCCCATCGAACTTTTGTTCTAGCTTCGTCTGACTTAGGAACACCTTCGTTTGCACGTGTCACGTGCAGACGAAGGTGAGGTGCTGAGACCTAGCCGCCACTTTTGAGACGACCTGGCACGCCATTGCGCCGGATGGGAAGTGCGAAGGCCCACCTTCGCCTAACACACGGTCTTGACTCGGCGGTAATCACCACCGGCAGTGAAGGGGTGGTGGCAGAGGAGGGCACACATTAAAGCATCTCCAGCCGTTCGGCTTCCAGGGCACCGAAAAAGAGCAGTCTGAGGGTAACCTAGCTCCCAGCCACGCCCTCAAGCGCCACCCCTCAAGTCACGGCAAATTCAAACTTGGTCATTCCCGCTCACAAAAAACGCCACAAGTCCGGCGATCAGCGGCCACAGTTCGGCAATCGGATGAAAAGTTCGGCATACAAAAAAGAAAGGACGCGTGCGCAACGCATCACACGGCGGGGTCGGCCTCCGGCGTCGGCGGAGTCGGCGTGCGCGAGCTTAGCGGTGTCGGAGCTGTTTCTGTGCTGGGCAACGTCGGCGCGGCTTCTGTGCTGCTGGGCGTCGTGGATGCATCATTGCTCGGGTTTGGCGGCGTCGTCGGCGTGGGCGTGGGAGTTGGTGGCGCCGTCGACGACAGCTGGTTCAGGACGAGGCCACGCTCCGCCAAGTACCACGCCTTGACCTGCTCGTCGTTGCTCTGGAGCATGTCCGCCCCGCCCAGCAGGAAAGCCAGGTCGGTGCTCCTCTTCTTCGCGGCGACGTTGGTCCGGAGTAGGTCGAGCATGACGGCGATGTTCGTCATCAACGCCGACCACCGCGCCTCGGTCTTCTCTTCACGTAGGGCGGCCCGGGCCTATGCTTTGGCGAGGCAATGCTCGATGGACTACTGCACTCGCGCGGTAGCGAGTCGGTGTGTTTCCCCTTCTTGGCCCCTTTGTTGCCTTCGAGGCGCCCGTCGCCCGCGCCCGGCGTCGGCGCGTCCGGCTTGTAGGTCTCCTTGGCCTTGGCGAGGGTGCGCCGGACATCCGCCCTCTTCTGGCACTTCTCGATCCGCTTGAAGACGTGGAGGTACTTGAATTCTTGGTCGCTGTTGTCCTGGCGATACATGGCGAACATGCGCAGCAGCTGCGCCGAGGAACAAACAGTTGGCGGGCACGCACGGCGAAAAGAAGTGGGAGACCGGCGTGCCATACCTGATCCTCAATGCTGGCGCCCTTCTCCGGGCGAGCCACGATCTCCTCAACGGTCCCACGCCATTTGTTGCACGCCGACTGGATGAGCTCCCAATGGTTCGCCATTGCCTTCGACCCGTGCTGCATGTAGACGCCTTTGAAGTAGGGGTCGACGAGCTTGCGCTCATTGAACTCGGCCTTGATGCGCTCCCAGTACGTCTCGATGCTCTGGTTCGTGCCGGTGATCGAGTCGAGGCAGACGACTTTCCATGCTTCGACGAGACATTCCTGCTCCTTAGACGCCCACTTGATGTGCGGCTCGCCGGTCCTGGCCGCCCCCTTCTTCTTCTTGTGTCTCCTCGCCGGAACAGGCGTCGGCTCCTCCTCCTCCTCTTCCTGCTCGTCCGGCTCCTCCTCCTCCTCTTCTTGCTCGTCCGGCTCCTCCTCACCGTCCATGTTGCCGTTGAGGTCCATCATGTCGTCCTGGGTAGTGAACTCGGGGACGCGGCGGCGGCGGCCGAGCCTGCCGTGATGATGTCGTCCATGTCGGCTTCGGTCGCGTCGGTGTCGCCGAGGTGCGACGTGGAAGCTTGTGAGAAGAGAAGCACGCCACGGCGGAGAGGGGGGTGTCGGGGAGGACGCTTAGGCCGGCGGTGAGTAGTTGTATGGAGGGTACTGCATGCCGGCGAAGGCGGGCAAGGGCGTGCGCTGGGCCGGGTGACCATGGGGGAAGGTGACGTTGGGGTTGAACCCACCGTGCGCGTCCCCGTCTCGACGTAGCCCGGCGACGCGTGCATCCCCAGGGTTGCGGTGACGACGAGAAGCCGGCCGGAGAACCGACGCTTTGCTGGCTCCAGGGCGCTTACTGGGCGTGGCCGCCGGGTGGATTCATCATCCCCACGCGAGCCGCCTCGGCTTATTCGGCCGAGCGCTCCGCTTGATCCGCCGCAGCCGCAGCCGCAAGCGCCACGCTGTCCCGGGCCTTCTTGGCGTTGGCCCTGTTTCGCCGGTCGGTGGTGACAGCCTCCCGACGCTGAACTTCCGCCCTCTGGTCGGCGTTGGACATGCCCGATGGCTTAGACGGCGGCGCCCTCGGCTTCCTCTGCTTCGGCTGGGCGACGGCAGCGGTCGCAGCTGTCGCGGCACGAGGGAGCACGTACTTTTTCGGCGGCATGGCGGCCGGCTGGGAGGGGAGGAGGGAGATTGGCGGGAGGAATGGAGAGAATGAGAGGAAAGCCTGGGGGAAAGCGGGAAGAAACTGTGGGAAAAGGCTCTCAACTCGCCGACAGAGCGGCCCCACGCCCCTTTTCGCTTATGCCGGCGCCCCCAGCGCGCCGGGTTGGGCTCGGGTACGCCGGCTGTTATTTCGGCCCAACCCAGCGAAAAACAGACTCATGGGGGCGTGAC